ACGGCGAAGAAACGGTATTGCACACAATGTAATAAGAATAATTTTATATTGGCAGTCCTCAGTCTTGAAGTATTTTCTGCTTCAACAATATTAGAAGGCGCCGTGGGTCGTGTCTCTTGTCTACTCAACCACAACGCTCGGGTTCAAATCAAGTGCATACTTATATATATACACATATACATATATATATATATTCTATATAAATTATATTGATTGGATATAGGACCCAAGGGTGTTAGTCGGCGGTTCCATCGCGACTGCACTTGGCGACCGATATAATTAATTTCGGAGGGTTGAAGCGCGTCTGTACCGGAGACAGAAAGGCCAACTTCTTACGGGACACGACCGCTTTGAAAATAAATTCCCAGGCGCGCTTAAAGCGTGTTGATTTAGATGTACATTACGTATAGTGTGTTTTTCCCGCCGCGTTAAAATAACACAACGATATGGTTGGCTTTAAGATAAAACTAAAAATACGTTTTCAGCACGCACACGCACGCATGAATGCACTTGCCCACACACATACATGTGCCGGCTGTGTGTGTGTGTGTGTGTGTGTGTGTGTGTGTGTGTGTGTGTGTGTGTGCATACGGAAAATTCAACGTTCCTCGGGGCTGAAAGGTTTTCCGTGGGTAATTCGATGAGTATGACGAATGATACGCATACGTCGCTCGAAATCCATTTATTTACCTACAGTCATTTCTTATGGTAATTTTTTATACCGGTGTGATACATTTTCAGTTTTTCATTAAACGCGTCGAGACGGATCTGAAAGTCGTCGAGCTTCATTTTTATATTCACACTCGTGTGCGCCGTTTTTATTTGAAAAAAAAATTATAATAATAATAAAAATAAAAATCAGTTGATATTCTACCTACATAGTTAATTTTAATATTGTGTCGATACAAGGAACAAAAAATAACCTGTTAATATTGCCGCTATACCAAATAATTAATATTTCACTAAACTAAAGGTAACTGAATTTACAGTAGTAAGTACCTTTGATATTTTTGATTACGGTCTCTAGTACTATAGTTACGATAAAAAACATTTAAAATCAAAATCTAATAATGATATCAGTTTTCATATTTTAAAAACTAAAATGTAATTATATAATTTTAAGAACTAGTATAATTACAATTGACTCAAAAGTTTTTTTTTCTTTTGTATCAAAGAGTTGTACCTATATCGTTTTATTTTTTCCATGAAATTAACTATTAAAAAAAAAAAAACACTATTTTACTATTATTTTATAGAAAAGATCAAACCTTATCAAAATAGTGAAATACAATTTAAAAGAAAAAAACCATATAGATACGTCATATTCATCAAAAACAACAATGGTGAATATTATAAAATTGATAATTCAGAAAATATGTTTGTTATTATAAATACATTAAATATTATGTACAAGTTATTGTTTAAATAGAAATGTACTTAAAAATGTTTGTTGTGTTAAACAATTATATAGGACTTAAATATATATGTGTAAAAGAAATTAAGTTTTTGTTTTTCAGTTAACCTGTTATTCTAGTACAAAATACTTTTATTATTATACTACTTCAAGACGTAGGTAGGTTCTACCTATACTTGTTATTTTTAAGTACAGAGTGGTTACAGTGTTGCACTGGTCAAAACAAAACCGTGAAATCAGGGCCAATAAAATTCAGTTCCATTTATCTCTCTTCGTCTCTCGTGGGTCACATATTCTTTTGAGTAGAAATTGTCTCTATCTTTCGCCTCCGATAAATCACTAAGTTTAGGTACCAAGTCAACTCCAGCTCTTAGCCACGAAGGAAGAGGGACTAAATAATTCTGAAATAAATCGTGGGTTAACCGATTTTCTTCTTGGTGGGATTTTTTTTTCTTTACTCTATTCTCGACGAATTGATATGCAAAGAGGCTTCCTTTTGTAAATAAGACCTTTTTAGCTTCAAAACGTATCCGACTGGCCGATATTAGAAACCTATGGCGTGCGAGGGGAAACGAGGAAACGAGATAAAACACTTTTTCGGTTATGCAAAAATTTTTCGATTAATTCGTTTGTTTGACACATTTCCGGAGAGAACTAAACCATTCATAATATATTCTTCCATTTCGTTCTTATAAAAAAAGTTTATCCCAAATTATAATGATATGTGAAGTGTTCTGAGATAAAATGTATTGTAATTTTAGCACACAATTATCATCATTTATGTTTTTTGAGGAACCACTATTTGTACTCATGGTAGAGAAACTTGTTTTACATTTTTAGAAACAAAAATCTTCGATCTAAAAATATTTCAATATCTGGAAGTCATGAATTAAAACATTTTTTGTATTGAACATTAAAAATATAGATTTAAGTTTTGTTTCCACATTCCCCATGTCAGAGATTATTCTAAAATCATAGTCACTCAAGAATATTAATTAAAATCATAGTTAGATCGTTCAAAGGCACAATAATAGTATGGTATTAAATTAAAATAAATATATATATGTATCATACATTAACGGAATCTAGTATTAAGTGTTTTTTTCAGAGTTTCCTGTGATACCTGTGAATCCTATATACTCGATGATACGGATCCGCACGAAGACAGATTCATATAAATTAAAGTTAAACATAATCAATAGACTAACCATTTAAACTGAAATGTAGGATAAAGAAGAGAGCAGTTTCAGCCGTGAAATGCTGATTAAAATGGATTTCGAGTGCAATTATTGCGAGACGACCAATATAGCAGTGCGCCTGGTATAGAGTTGGAGATCGGTATACGACTGTGTGATTAAGAGCTCCATAATAAAAAAAAATAAAAAGCTCCGTAAACGACCGAGTGTGCCCATAAGTCGCTCAAACGTCGTAAAGGTATTTATACGGTCTCAAGAGGATTGGTCTCGAGTTGATACGAACATTTTGAAAACTATCGTTAGGCACATTTAGTACGAACAGACTTCCGAGTTTCGAGAAATGATTTACTAAGTTTAATATTCACGTAAATCGTAAACGACATCTCGAAATTAAGTGACGTGGTGTTAGAAAGCACCGGACCCATCATATAATCTAAGGCAGATTAATTTTCAAAATCGAAGAAAATTGTTAGGTAACTGTTTTGTAATTTAATCAATCTTTTGGCATGGTTTTACGATTTAATCAAACTTTACCTACGATAAAATTTTAATGTATCTTTATTGTTCCTGACTTTTATATTCAAATAGATGTATTACAACTATATTAAGAAAAATATATAATAAAATAAATGTATTTTTTGACTTAAATATGTACTCATTTTTCACCTCATATTAAAATAGATTACATTTTTACAAGAAAATTTACATTTTATCTTCTATTTACTTCAAAAACACTATAAAAAATATGTTTAACGATACTATATTTTTTTTATTATACTCAATTCAGACATTATTATACCGAACGTTTTAAAATATAAATTTAAAATTTAAATAAATCAAATGCGTTGTACATTTATGTTTTAATAACATTAAATCATTGTATATTTTTTGAACTGTAATATTAATATTGAATATAAAACGAAATAATTACAATACATTTTGGTCGATGATCTCGACTACATAATATGCCAATAACGTATGAAACATTTTATACATTCCAACTTTAAAAAACATATTATATTAATTTCGTTTTTTATTGGAATAACCTGAAATTGTATTACATTTTAATTTGTTTACTATTAATATTTACTTAATTGCCAACAAATAAATAAATAAAAATATATCTATATAATATTAACACCTATACTTTAAACTCTTTTGAAAATAATTCTGAGAAAATGTCTTAAGTAAAACCAATTATTTACATTTTACTTATAGGTAACAACGTCAATTGTTTTGTATTCGATCAAGAAACGTTTTTCACATTACGATTTAAAAGAAAGTTCACCTATTCATAGTCGCGTGTCGCGAGGTGGCATTTCTGTTCGTACAGGTTTTCTTTTTCATTTATATTAATTTACTATACAAACAACTATAGAACACGTCCTCGGGGGAAATTCGTGAAAATAACGAGCTGAAACTTTATTTTTATTATTATTATTATTATTTTTTTTCTTAAAAACATAATTCTTGGGACATCGGTCGGCGGAGACAGCAGCAGTATCCTCGGACTGACATGGACACGGCGGTGGTGTTTCGGTGGAACCTAAGACGTGCAGCACGGTCATATAATAGGTATTACACGGTCGTATGGCTTATCCGTTTCGGGACAGGTCAAGAGTTTAAAAAGTATACGCTTATACACGGAGAAAGAGAAAGACACACACACACATACACACAACACACACACACACGCACACAAACGGAGTAGAACGGTTTTTCGATTTGGTCGTTTTAGCAGCCGGACATTTTTCAACCAGTTTACCTGTCCCCCCAAGTGGCCGATTAGTGTCCGGACTTGATGCGAACAAAGATATAATATACTATCTATTACTGAGCATGTGACGTGCGGGCGCATACGACCTATGATGTATAATGAACGGTTTTAGCGGGTGAGTAACCATCCGCGCGACAGATCTCACGCCAGTTCGCGCGAGTCCGTTTGCACTTTCGTAGTTGTTGTCTGTGCCACGCCGCCGACACCACCGTCACGGGGTGGGCTGGTGAAAAAGTTGTGCGCTCGTTTTAAAAGCGCTTGATCGATGAACTTTTTCTATTATATACGATGAACGGTCAGCAAAACATGTTTGCGGGCGTGGGGGGCGACGTGCGTGTGTGTGCGTCCAAACGAGTTTTAAACTGTTATTAAAACTCGCAGGGCACTTCCCAATGCGTTTTATTGAGCTTATAACGCGAAAACTTTCGGACGCACAACCGGAGAAAAGTAATCACCAGACCGTACACGTACACTACACTACGATTTTATACGTTTTTATTTCCAGTCCGCGGAAAAAATAAATTATCTAAGACATTAATCGGTTCGTGTCTGTCAGTGTCCGATGGTTTTTTTTCATACTAAAGATGTTATGCTAAAAACCATTTGTACTCACCTCTAGGTTGTTGATGAACCAGGTGACCTGTGCTTGGGGAAATGTCATTTTGGCTGTACAGTTGGCTTCTAAGAATTCACCTACGGAGTACATTGGTCTGAGTCCTTCTATCCTCGGACCATCATCGGGAAACGCTATAAACGAGACATGATAGATTAAAATCACATTCATTGCAATAAATTCCATCAGTACTATTAATTGTTTAAGTGATAAGAATATGTACTGTTAAAATACATTATAACTCTAATAATTAATAATTGTATTTTTGTTCCAACAATACGTATTAATTTAAGTGTGTGTATAATAATGAACTATTCATTATATTGTATTCGTGTTTATGTTATGAATAATAATTACTACGGGTATTGACATTTGTATTGACAATAACAATTATGTCAATAATCAAACTACTGAATAACTCAAGAATGGTTACATTAATATTATTAATTATTTGGATTTAGATTACGACCATTTAGTCGAGTGTTACTACTGGGTAACTACTCCCCTCAGGCATTCATTGCCAATGTATATATATAATTTGCTTATTGTAATTATGTTTACAGATTGTATATTATGTAATGTAATAAACGTAAAAAAAAAAGAAAAGTATTGCTATAATATATTATCTAGAAGATGAAAGTTATGCCGTATGGAAAATATAATAGTGTACGTCTTCGTGGCATGTATCATTATAATTTATAGATAACAAAATTTAAAATTATACGCTTCTATTGTACGATTAATGATTATTTTACCACTGTGTAGATAATATCCTTATTAGTTATTATCCTTATTATTCTAACTAAAATATAAATGTTGTATTAAAAAATCAACGAATAACGATACTAGATTGGAATAAACTTTGGGTGAAAAATCACTACATCATTGTTGTTAATTAACGAAGTTGTCGAGATTGAAAATGTCTGGTTGATGATGTAATAAAAGAAAACAGTCGGAAACAACTAAACAGGTAATGTTTGATACCTCGCTAATGTACCTAATACACTTCGACGCATAATCACAGATATAGGACGACAATAATGACACAGTAGGTGGGGAAAATGTGTTGTAAATAAAATAATGCATTGACTGGAAGCACTGGATTGCATAGAATGGTTTCCTTCAGTTCCAGTGGCGATAGCTTAACACATATATCAGCAAAACCATGTAAATGGCTAAGTATAGGTACACTTTATTGTCAGCCACATAGTGACAAAGCTCAGAAGAAAATCGTTGAAACATATATGCTGAAAACTTAATCTGAGCATAATAATAGGATAAATCGCTCGTAGATGGCCAACCTATTCGGATTAAGACATAATTATTTAAAAAGCTTTAGTAAACCAACAAATCTAAAACTATAGATATTTTATATTTAATTGTTTTTTATAATACACATTATATAACATATTATATATGGAACCGTATATTATATACAATGTACATTGATTTATTTCGGGATAGTTGTGACGCAAAGTGTAAGTTTTTTATTCAAAATTTGTATGCATTGAATTCAATGAATTCATATCACGAACAACTTTTGAAGTTTACTCAAGGGAAATATGAATTTCAGCATTCAATATTTAGTTCGTATTGTCTTTGAATATCAATTATGTAAATATAAATAAAATTTGTTATACCTACTATAGTAATATTATAATTTATTAGACAATTTATTAAATATATAGTATTAGTTTGCGAGATCCAATATTTTGTATTACTTATTTTTGGAAATGTATATCTATGAATATTGCATTTAAATAATATTACTATTATTTCTTACCGATGACTGACATATTGGCGTCTTCGACGACTGTTGGGAAATTCGGAGCATCCGTAGATACTTCACACTTGTAATTGCCGTTGCTCGTCCTAGTCAACGGATACAGCGTCACTTCTCTGGAGGACGACTTACTCTCCTAGTGGATAACAATAACAATAATAATTAAAATGGAATTACCTATCCTAGAAATGTAAATACGATGTAATTACATTAAATTGCGTAGCTACTACCAAGATTGGGTAATACGTGGAGTTAAAAACAAATATGAGAGCATAAAAATAATGTTCAAAGCAATATTTAATCGTTGAAATAGGTAGGTGTTTTTAATAAAATATATTTTTGTTTTCGAAATGTTGTATACTAAGTGAATGTAAGTCTTCAAAATGAGAGAATCAAAAATACTATATAGCATATCATGCGTAAACCCAAAATAATATAAATACTATGGCACTGTATAGTTATGACGTTGTAAAACAACTGCGCTGGCGATGACGATGACTACGACGGCGGTAAATTGCTCTACCTCGGGAGAGGGGGCCTGGAGGCTTGCACATGAATACGAAATAAACGACGATATTGTACGACGGTGTGACAGTGGCGTTCGTATATTTTATTGCTTATGGCGAAGAAAGGGGGGGGGGAGGGGTAGAGAATACATGGCGGACGAGCGTCGTTTATTTCGTTAGATTTTTATTCAGGCTTTCCGCGTAAAAACGGCTGCCGAGCCGATATAAAGTACGAGATACAGACGCACCGGGGTATGTGATAATGTTTTCGCGGTTCCTATGTAGGTCAATGAGTCGAAAACTTTCAACACAAATTTTCGCGAAAATATATTATATACGTACATGATATTATAGCTACAGGATTACACAACGTTTCGTTGTTTCATCTCGGCGTTTAACCGTCTCCGCCTGCACAGCGACATGGTCCCTATCTCTCGGGCGCACCTAACCTAACTTAACCGCTTTCCTTATGGCGGCGGCGGTGGTGGTGACAAACTCTCCCGACCCCGTGGCCTAAGAAAGTTTTGGCCGTAATTTTTAAGCCACCGTCACACGCGGAGTACACGCGACGTGCGATAAAATAATTTACCGCCCGAAGAGAAATGAGGAAAAAAAAACGAAAACCGACCGAAAACGCTAACGCGTCCAACTTTTGTACTCACGTCCACGTTTACGCCGTCCAAGCTGAACACGAGCGTCTGCGGATTCAATCCTGGCGTGTATCGAAAGAATTCGTTATCGTCCTTGTACCATTTCACCGAGTACAGACTGTCGCCGCCCGTGTCGAACTGGCAGTACAGTGTCACCGAACTCCTCAAGTCCGCCCACTGAGGTATGACTAGTTTGGTCAAGACGAGACCGCCTTTGCTACCTGCAAAAATACAAGCAGACATCGTGGAATTATTAAAATGGTGAATGCAAACAAATAAATTTAGTGGGTTGGCGAAGCGCGGTCGTGTGCTCGATTTGCGGCAATGCTCTGAACGCACGTACGTAAGGGCGGCCGTCGCTACCACTCGGGTGGGTGACCACCTGGGTTTTTATAGCGACACTTCCTTGCCACACGTACAGATACGTGTTTCACATCAACCGTTCTCCCCCACACATAGCTAATGGCCACAGTCGCCGGGCATTAGATCGATAAAAATAATTTTTTTACTTTTCTTTTACAAAATATTATATATTAATAGATTAACAATAACGTTTTATTAAGACGCCTTCGACTATACAAGTAGAAAATGAGACGACCAACGACCGTAAAAATACGTCGCAGTTAAAACATGTTTGCGTCCAATAGTTGCTTGGTGCTTTATCATTGTTATATCGTGAGTTAAAACTGTAACGAGTTTTTCATAATTTACGCTATAGGTACATCGGTTGTAATTATTATTTTACCTCCGAAAACGTTTCCTATATATTGGTACATAATACACGAGGGTCACAATGAAAATCCGACACGTCGAGTTCACGTGCAGGTACCACGTTCACAATCAAAAAGTTAGTGGGCTAATGTTATTAATTCGCTGATCATTGTTCTGTAAAAGGTCTTCAATTATTATTGTTGTTTGTTTCCATAAAGTCAAATGCCAATTAGTTGATATTAAATTTATTGTCTGCATTTTACTCTTTCAATAACCTTTGTTCAGTTGTTTAATGTTTTTTTTATCATTGTTACCATTGCCAAATACCAAATAGATAATAACTAATATAATTATATATTATTTGGTTTTTTAGTGAGATACCTTATTGTGTTTGAGTTACATTGTTTCAATTATTACACTATTGTAATAACAACTTAGAAACAGATGGGTGTAAAATGAGTATGTACAAACCCGATATAGAATTTGATTAAACAATTAAGAATTATTAAAACTCGTATATTGTGGTGGCTATGTTCAAATTATATTTACATACGTGTTGCATACTTTATGATCGTATTAAACCGTTTTTTTTTTTATTAGTTTCAGAATATTTTTAACTGAGCTGTGGCCTGCTAATAACCCATTCATATATTAATTATTCATGCCGAAGTGCTGAATTAAAGGATTAGGTACAATATAGACAAATCCTTTATAACCTTCTGTGTTACATCTGAGTTAAATATTTTATAGATTTTTATTTTTCTGTCGATTGTGTCACAACAAGTTGTACCTGTTTAAGTACCATAATAGTAAGCTACTGCTAAAGCTTTAAATAAAAAATTTAAAATTAAACTAATTTAAAACTTATAAAATTAAAAAAAAATATTTCAGAAGGGTAATAATGTAAAATTATTCAATGGATAAAATATTATATTGCAGTTGGAATTTTAAGCATATAATATTTGGTTTTCATGATAAATAAAGTGCATTTTTTTTTAACAACTAGTAATTGTATATATTTTGGTAATGGATGCTAGCAAATAACGATTATAGTATACCATGAAACCAATGATATAATTTAAAAATACAATTATATATTTTTACAAAATCCTATTTATTAAAATATTTAAATCATCATAACTATTTAATAAATTAGTCCAATAAAAAATATTTAACAATATTAAAATAATTTATATTAGAAAATGTAACATTAATTTGAACATCGAGTAGTCTTAAAATACTATAGTAGTGGATATATTAGTTTAAACCATATTTAAGTGAAAATGCTTTTTAACAAATGTGAAGGGATCAAGAGATTTATTTCGTTATAGAGAGTTTTTGTAATAGTTTTTGTATATTTTTGTTAAATAACAAAATATTAATTATTTATGCATAAAATTATTATTACGATGATCAAAGTTGATAGTGAAAGAATGTAATCGTTCTAGGAAATTCCGGCATTTATGATGATTACTTTTATAATTTATAACACGATAACAAGAAAATTGTATTATGAAACATAAAATTTTGTTTCGTTATTGAAAGTGACTAAAAGCTATAGAGAATGAATTGACTAATAGGTTATAATGCGAACCAACCAGTATTATGTAATGTTTAAGGTAAACATAGTTTTTCGTTGTAAATAGTTTCGTTATAAAGAGTTTTCACTGTATTTAAGGATGAAAAGCGGCTTTGCTTAAAAAAAAATGTGATATCTCACATGAAATTAATAATAATTGTTAATTTTAATAAATAAATGAGAAAATTGTTCGAAATTAGTTGAAATGTCTTTTTAAATTCATTAAGTAATGCATGTGACACGCTTCAAGCTCTACAGTAATATAGTTTACACTTCAAGTTGGTACGTTTTTGACTTGAAATTACTGCTCCAAGTACACTAAAGAGTTTAGAAACAACTTCCTTGTGATGTCCAAAATATTCAAATACTTGTTACTGTATTCTAAATACCTATATACCATAAGTAATTTCAAAAACTTATGCATCAGCACAAACTCATGAATTACAAATTAAAATTAATCTAAAAGCATGAAGTATCTGTTGGTTTAAATTATATTTCTTTAAGAAAAAAAATGCAGGTTCTTAAAGTTTCTTACTTTATTATATTTCGCAATTGCGTATGCGAGCCATTAATAATTTAAAATAGTTCTGAATTAACCAAAATCCATTAAGATTGAATACAAAAAGTTATATAGACAGTGAAAAGGATCCTTTATGTTTGATGCTTTTGGTGTATTATGATATTGAAACAAGTTGCATTACGATCGTAAGAAGAAGAAAGCATTATACTGTGTTATCCTATCTAGTAAAATTAATGAGAAACAAAATCTATTTAAGTCACATTATTGATTGGTTAAGTTAAACAAATTATTATTATGGACATGAATTTGAGTGTACTACGAATAAAATTATTTTTAATAATCCATATTCAGTGAAACCGCACTTAACAAACACCTCTAAATAGTGGACACCTCCGAAAACGGATATTTTTATGGGAAAGGGTACATTTTCACCACTTTTGTATAAGAAAACTCCTAAACACCAGATCACTCTAAAAAACGGACACTTGTATTTGCAATTTAATTTTTGATTTTCTAATTTATACAACGTTATCAACGATAGTACGAATATGTCCCCACTAAACGAGGTTTCACTGTACCAACATATTATTTTGATTAATTTGACGTATGCATAGGTATATTACCGAGAAGTCAAGCGAACATACTGTAATATTAGACCGATCGACGACAGATGGAAACACATCAAAGAACATGCGTTTTTTTTTTGGTACAATTATAAAGGTTGGTACTTATAACCTGACAGGAACTACAGACTAGGCGTATACATATTATTTTATGTAACTACATGAAAATCAACCACTTTTGGTACAGTAAAATATGTACTCCATAATATCGTTTGATACTTACCGAGGTAAGCAAAATCTCCGAAGTAGCGCAAAAGAGGAAATATTCAGCTCAAAACAAAAATAAGATGTAAATATTACAATTATAATTATAATAATAAATACTCAAAATACCAGCAGTGTGTCAAAACCAAGCAATTGGTTACATTATCTTTTCGAGCCGTCGATAAGGTTTCGAACTGCGGCCCAAGACACCTTTGAACGTCATCGGTCAAAACATTTTCGCGGAATTTTCGTCTGGTCCGAACGAGATAACGAAATAACGTGTGCACCACCGCGGAAGTCTACGCGAAACTAAAGCCACCCCACGGGATTAGCCCACCCACACGCTAATTGAGAGGACTCTCGAATAGGAAATGGTGTTGTTGGCTGTCTTTGCGTACCACAACTTCCGATCTCACCGCCAGTTTTCCGTAGCTTCCCGATTATCGTGCAGAACGAAACGTCCGCCACCCACACACATTAATATATTAATATTTGGCCATAGTGGCATCGAACATAAGGCTTTGAACCTAAGCTCGGCTGAGTTGTTAGACCACGAATCGGAAAATATTACGTTGAGACCAGTATCATGGTAACGGACGTAATGCGTTTGCCGGTTTTTACTTCTTATACGTTCTAGGACGTATACGTTGTTTTGGGGTGGATGTCATTTTTTAAAAATGCGAATAGCGTGCCGGTGTTGAAGTTCAACCAATTCAAGTATTTTTTTAGAACCGTCTGCGAGTGACGTCGATTTTGATTTGAATAGAGGTAAAATCAAATTGAAATTACGCGTCGCAAATGACATCGGGTCAGCGGTGGCTATAATGGAAATAATGGATTTAATGATACCGTGACGGTCGTTTCTATGCATTTCAATGGTAGGAAACATTGTGACCAATAAACTCCGTTAGCCTATTAAAAACGCTCAAGTGCACTTAAGTTACCCTTTGTAATTACGACGGAATAATGCGCGTCGTGGAAAAAAAAGGGACTATATTGAAATTCAAAGCACATACGAAATGTTTATTGCTCAAACGCGAGTATGTGGAAACCCGTGGGACACTACAATATACAATACTGTGCACTTGGAGGAATGTTGGACGAGAAAGATAGAAAAAAAAACCTTCCCCGTGTGCACTCCCCGACCCCCGAGCAACGACGTGTGCTCTGAGTTTCGTAAAACAGCTGTGTAAGAAAAATCGACTAACTCTTTTTTTTTTCTATTTTTTTTTTACCCCATACTGCATTGCTGCCATAGACGATACAGTCTCTCCGATAAAACTAAATCAAAAAGATTATATCGACTTGGGAAAAATAAAAGTTTCATAAGGACCCTCGTGGGAACGTTATCCCGTTGTCCTGCGGTTGCAAAGGAACATTTCGGTGCCTTTCGCGTTATTATTCTTTGTCAGAGAAATCCTTTTACGTTTTATTGCCTTAACCACAGCATGCTCTTACGCTACTTTCAAATGGATTGCAATCTTTTAAAATAAAACAATAAGTCATCGGTGGTGAACCAATTAAAGGTGAGATCCCTAAATATTTTTACTCCATTATAGTTAACGGAGTCCGTCGTTTTTGTAC